CCTTTCCAGGCTCCATGTGGAGACAATCCACCTGGCGGCTGGAGGGCTCCAGGTACAGCACGCACGCTTGCACCTGCATTTACAAACGTATCAGATTCTTTTCATGTTTTTTTTAAAATTAATTTTAATTTTTTTAACTTTTTACATTTTTTATTCTATTAAAATTATTAGAGATGTCGCCAACAGTGTTGGACATGCAGAGTCTTCRTTACCTGGCGTCCCTCAGTGTACATGAACACCTTTCCAGGCTCCATGTGGAGACAATCCACCTGGCCAGTGAAGGAGGACAGGAAGTCCAGGATCAGACCGTGTTTGGTCACCTGCAACGCCCAAAACWGATTAATAACAGAAGCGATAAAAACGATGCCTCGTGTGAATCGGAACGAAAAACCGTCTCCACCTTTTTGATGGTGGCTCTGACCAGCAGGCCCGGCAGAAGGTTGGTGAGGTTCCAGCCCTGCTTGGCGTCGGCACAGCCCTGGGTCACGGCGGAGGGGTTTGCCAAGAGGCGCACCACGCGGCCGCTGCTCTTAACTTCTTCTACTTGAACCGTCAAATACTGACCCACTTTAAGCTCTGGACAACGCAACACAAATGTTTGTTACCCACCACCACAGAGGGCAGGAGAACAGAACAAATTAAAAATAATGATTGGCATTTTCTGGATGTGTTGGGTTTTGCTGCAATAAAGGCTGGGATTAATAAAGTACAACTATTATATAAAACAAAGTCTAACTCTGACGACATTAAGCGTTCAACTAGCTGAGTGTGATTAATGTTYTTGTACCTCGAGTTTTATTTTGCTTGAATTTCATGGCTTGTTCGGGCAGGAAGGCTTTGGTTCCACTGATGCCGATGTCAACAATGCAGCCATGCTCTTCTACACTCTCCACACATCCACTCAAAACCTAAAATCACAAGGAATTTAAAACTCATATCGTGTTTATTTTTTTWAATAAATTGACCRATTTCATTGCTCACCATTCCAGCTTTTACAGAGCTCGGTGTGAGATTCTTGTTGAGCAGCTTTGGATTGATGGACAGCTGGATGCTGAGCGATCCTCCTTTTGTTACATCCAGCTTGGCGATCACACATCTGAGCAGCATGCCMGGGTAGAAGAGGTGCAGAAGAGAGCAGATCTCCTGTGACGTAAAAGAAAAAATATATATTCTCAGTCGYAWAGAAGAATTACRATCTGCAGCGCTTTCCTAGTCACCGGGGAGCAGGCTGACCTCTGTGTCCATCTCAGAATCCAGCTGCTTACTGAGCAGCTTGGTGTACGAGTCACAGATATTCTTGATGCTCAGGAAACCTTGCAGGCCACAAGGTAAACTAACAGTCACTTCAAAGTCCGTCACCTCCTTCACACAGCCCAGGAACAGCATCCCCTCCTTCACATTCTGGGGGGAAAAGTGAAAAAACTCAGCTTAAACATCTAAAAAAGATCAAATAAACAGCTTGTTTAGTAGTAATTTATTTACCCTCAAATGAAGAATTTCTACAGATCTGGCTGTGGTGTTGAGAGTCAGGCTGTCTTCTATCGTCTCTTCTGCTTCTTGAATTTTTTGCCGTCAGCCTTGTTGCTTCTTTCCTTTTCTTAGTTTCTGTTTGTACATGAGAC